TTATCCATCTATCTATCTATCTATCTATCTATCTATCTATCTATCTATCTATCTATCTATCTATCTATCTATCTATCTATCTATCTATCTATCTGATTGTAAGCCTCTCTGAGACTCTGAGTGAAGGGCGGGGTATCACTCCAATCTCCTCCTCCTCCTCCTCCTCCTCCTCCTCCTCCTCCTCCTCCCTACTACAATGTAGGAGACATTAGTCTCCAAGTTCACAATATTTCAAGATCACAGTCCCTGAGAATTACTCTGAGAAACTGTGACTCTTCTCTGGGGCCAGGCTGTGTGTGATGGAGCCCCAAGACCTCTCGAAAGCAGAGGTCATTTTGGGGGGGAACGCGGGGGAATGCAGTTCCCCCGGGTGAGGTGCAGGGGGGCGGGGCACATGACGAAGTCCCGCCCCCTGCTTCCGGCCGCCCCGCTTCCAGCCCTCATTCAGCCAGGAGGAGGCAGGAGAAGAGGGAGGGTAAGTTGCTTCCTCCCCGCCTCTCCCCACCCCTGCCTGCCTGGGGCCAGGGAGGGCCTTCGCGGGGCTTCCTCGCACTCCCGCTGGCCTTGCAGGTCCACCGCCGGGCCCCTGATGTCAGAGGGTGTGGCATATGCTAATGAGTTATGCTACTGAGTTCCCCTAGCTCTTTTTCTACGAAATGACCCCTGCTCGAAAGGTTATCTGTAATTGCACTCCCGAACTTCTCCAGCTCTGAGCTTTTATAAACGAAAGCATGGGATGTAAGTATAGGGTCTGTGGCATCAGGTGGTAAGCGTTGATCACACTGTGGTGTGACACGTGAAACCTGGTACTGAATCAGACCATCAACCAATGCTCCCCCTAAGCGAAGCGTTCCGGATTCGCTTCAACGTGCTGGTGCTTACCTTTAAAGCCCTACATGGCCAGGGTCCGTCATACCTGAGGGACCGCCTTTCCCCACATATGCCCCAAAGAGCACTTCGGTCGGGGTCACAACATTTTGAGTAGGAGCCGCCGCCACCACTACCACCACTGTGTGACTGCAGAGCAGTTCCGCCACGTCGGGCTGACTGGCCAGATGAAACATCGTGGCCCGTGGCATCCCCCCCCCCTTTTTTGACCCCATTGGGATATGCAATAGGGAGTAAGTATTGTAGTCATTTATGTATCCTGTGAGATGTGCATTTTTGCTTATACTGTTTTAACTGTTGACTTTTACTGCACTTGTGCCTTAATTGTTTTAACTTGCTGTATTTTTATCGCACTTTTGTGCCTGCGTAAGCCGCCCTGAGCCCGCGTGCGGGGAGGGCGGGGTATAAATGAAATAAAATAAATAAATAATAAATAAGCTGTGGAGTCCTGTGAGCAAAAATTCTACTTTGTGAGCTACTAGCATTAAAGTTGTGAACGAGCAATTTGGCTGCTGCATCAATTAGTTTGCTCTGGAGCCTTCCTTCCTGAGCCGAGACAAACAATGTGTGAGCCGGAGGCTAAAGAACCGCGAGCTAGCTCGCACTAACTTAGCTTAGGGGGAACACTGCCATCAACCCATCAATATTGTCCACTCGGACTGGCAGCGGCTCTCCAGCGTCTTGGGTAGAGGTCTTTCACATCACCTGCTGCCTGGTCTTTTTACCTGGAGATATCAGGGATTGAACGGGGGACCTTCTACATGCCGAGCAGATGCTCTGCTGCTGAGCCACGGCCCCCCATCTGACTCAAGATCGAGCCACAAGAGCTGTCTCTGTTCTCACGCTGAGACCCGGACTCTGCTTGCTGGAGCTGATCGTTCTGGAAGAGGAGGTCTCCTTGACAACTTTGTGTGATCTTTAATGAGCCACTCTGCTTCTGCAGGTTTTGATCTCTCACCCCCGCCTCTTTTTAATTCTCCAGGCACAGCTGCGAGCGTTCATCCCTGAGATGCTGAAATACTCAACGGGTCGGGGGAAGCCAGGCTGGGGGAAAGAGAGCTGCAAGCCAGTCTGGTGGCCAGAAGATATCCCGTGGGCCAATGTCCGCAGTGACGTTCGGACGGAGGAGCAGAAACAGCGGGTGCGTGTTTAGCGATCCCTTGCTTTCAACCCCCTTTGCAAAAGCGGCTTTCCTTTGTATGGGAGGTTTATAGATCTGTCTTTGGTGTAGTGATTAAGTGCATGGACTCTAATCTGGGTTTGATTCCCCACTCCTCCACTTGCAGCTGCTGGATGACCTTGGGCAAGCCATAGTTCTGTCAGAGCTGTTCTCTCAAGGACAGTCCTGGAAAGAGCTCTCTCAGCCCCACCTACCTCACAGGGTGTTTGTTGTGGGGAGGGGGAGGGAAAGGAGTTTGTAAGCCACTCTGAGACGCCGAGTGAAGGGCGGGGTATAAATCCAATCCTTCTTCCTCTTCTTCTTCTGCACTATGGTAATGGTTGGCTTCAAACTGTTGTAGTAGCCTTGGTAGGAACGTGAGAATGGCCATTCCAAGGTCTGGCTGAAGGCTGCTCTTGAACAGCTCTTTGGGATGGATCCAGAGATTTTAATCTTCCAGTGGCAGAATGGAACTTGCCAGAATGGTAGTCTGGATCTAGGATTGCCAGACCCCTGGTGGAAGCAAGGGTCCCTTGCCACCAGGTCTACCTCTAACCACCAATCAGTTCGCCAGGACAGGGGCTTACCAGGAGAAAGGAGAAGGCCTAGGCCTCGTTGCCAGTGTCACACAGGAAGTGACGTAATCACTCTAGTGACGTCCGGGCAACGCTCTGGTATTTGGGCAAAAACTCTACAGTAGAAGCCAGTTTTACTGTAGAGTTTTTGCCCAAATACCAGCGCATCGCCCGGATGTCGCTGGCATGATGACATCACTTCCTGTGTGATGCCTGCAACAAGGCCTAGGCCGGGGGTGGCCAAACTGTGGCTCGGGAGCCACATGCGGCTCTTTCACACATATTGTGTGGCTCCCAGCAGGACGGCTGGGGAAGTGGAGGCATGCCTTCCCGGTTGGTCTTCGCTTCTGCGTGCTTGCTTGCTTTCTTCTTCTCCCTCCCCCCATCTCCTTCCTTCCTTCCTTCCTTCCTTCCTTCCTTCCATCCTTCCTTCCTTTCTTCCTTCCTTCCCTCCCTCCCTCCTTCCTTCCTTC